AAAGAGGAGAGATCCTTTAAAAGCTCTGCAAATGCATCTGAAACTAGAGTTTTGTGGGTTTTGATTTCTTAGTCTCTACATATGTTTTAACGGACGTGGCTAACTAGCCCTACCTTTTATAGTTATTGGGCGTATCAACTCCCAGAAAGTCGGCCTGAAGTTTTACATTTCAGTTAGTGCCCCTACTCTCCCCGCTTTGTGTTTTTCACTCAGAGAACTTCAATTACCTTAAAGAGAATTAAATAATCAACATTCTTTCTTAAAATGTAGTTTACACTATTTTCGATTTGTTGTTGTCATCTTTCTTTTTCTATTAAAGAGGCCTGAAAACTGCTGGGACACTTCAAAAGGGAAGGACATGCAAAAATTAAGTGCTTTACCTTGACCTTACCAACCTTAAACTGTTCTCATCTGGAATTCAATGTGGTGGCTTGTTTCTGTTACTGGTTATAAACGTGATTCGTGTTTCAAAAATAGTTCTGGGTAATTTAACTTGACATTTTAAAAGGACTGTTTTTATTGTGAGATTAAAGCTAATAACCTAATGGAAGGCATATACACATGAACATATTTTATTCATTTAAGAGCAATATGCACTCTGGCTTCTGTTTAAACATTGCCAGGAGGACCAATTTGCCAGGAAGTCCATCTGAGTTCCTGCAGGGACTCAGCATTGAACCAACACAGTCAACATTTCATTACTTTGAAAAGAACAGATCTAGATTTCCCAGACGACCCCCCCAAAAGAAACTGTCCTATTAATTTCTGCAATCCCTTTGTAATTTTTTTCTATCACTTTCCTGGCAAATTGGTCCTCCTGGCAATGTTTAAACAGAAGCCAGAGTGCATATTGCTTTAAATGGAATAAATATGTTCATGTGTATATGCCTTCATTAGGTATTAGCTTTAATCTCACAATAAAAACAGTCCTTTTAAAATGTCAAGTTAAATTACCAGAAACTATTTTGAAAACAGGTAACAGAAACAACCACCACATTGAATTCCATATAGAACAGTTTAGGTGGTAAGGATCAAGGTAAAGACTTAATTTTTGCAGTCCTTTCCCTTTTGAAGGTCACAGTTTTCAGGCCTTTTAATGAAAAAGAAAGATGACAACAAAAATCAAAATAGTTAAAACTACATTTTAAAAAAATGTTGATTATTTAATTCTCTTTAAGGATATGAATTCTTCTGAGTAAAAACACAAAGCGGGGAGAGTAGGGGCATAACTGAAAATTAAACTTCAGGCACTTTCTGGGAGTTGATACCCAATACTATAAAAGTAGGCTAGTTAGCACTTGGTAAACATATTAAGACTAAGAAATCAATAACCACAAACTCTAGTTTCAGATGCATTTGCACAGCTTTTAAAGGGTCATTAATAAACCCAAGTCACTGAGAAAAACTATTACAGAATGTTTAAAGTATCTTATTTGTGCCTCCATGTCCAAAGAGTATCCTAACCAATCTGGCTTAAAGTGTCTTAACTCAAGTTATTTAATAGGATATGTATGATTCTAATTAAACTAAATGAAACTAATAGAATTAAAAGTGATAGGAAAAGGTGGTACAGAAATTCTCTAAAAAAAATCTCAACCAAGAGTACTGGCTCAAACTTGCAATCTCAACACCTTGGGAGGCCAAGGTGGCAGGATTGTCTGAAGCCAGGAGTTCAAGACCACCCTGGGCAACAGTGAGACCTCATCTATAGAAAAAATTTAAAATAAAAGTCACAATTAGGCCCAGCAAGGTAGCTCATGCCTGTAATCCTAGCACTCTGGGAGGCCAAGACGGGTGGATGGCTCAAGGTCAGGAGTTCGAAACCAGCCTGAGCAAGAGCAAGACCCCGTCTCTACTATATATAGAAAGAAATTAATTGGCCAACTGATATATATATGTAAAAAATTAGCCGGGCATGGTGGCACATGCCTGTAGTCCCAGCTACTTGGGAGGCTGAGGCAGTAGGATCGCTTGAGCCCAGGAGTTTGAGGTTGCTGTCAGCTATGCAGACGCCACGGCACTCACTCTAGCCTGGGCAACAAAGTGAGACTCTGTCTCAAAAAAAAAAAGTCACAATTAACTAGCTTATTTTGATAAAATATACAAAATAATAAATTCACATTTCTTAAACTATATCAAATAATCAGAGGTCAAGATAGTTATCCAGAAAATGTCACATTATTCAGTGTCAGCTACTTTTTCTTTACAGTGGAAATCAAAGCCACTACTTGAATTATAATTCAATTTCTTTTCCTGTTTTATTTCACCAAATTTGTTTTTGGAGCTATATTTAACCAAAACCTAGTTGGCACTTCATGTCATGAAGATAGATGTAGCAAAAAAAAAGTTTGCCAAATTTTAATCAAGATTAGAACAACTAAGATGTTAGTACATACTCTGCTCATTTGAAATAAACCAGTATCTTCCATAGTTTCTCTGAAATATCCAATATTGCCTTACTTCACAGAATACTGTTAATTTCAGTGCAAGGGATGCCAACCCAGAGGCATTGTTGACCTGGCTTGGGTAAAGGTGCATGTGTAAAACTGCTTCAGTTAAAGATCTACAAAAAAGAAAATCAAGAAACTCGTTTTGTTTTGGTTGAGAATGGTGAGTCCACAGACATCTTCAATTTCAGGAGCTTCGAACTAAGGAAAGGGCTGAGATGTCCTTCACATTCCTGTTCATCCAAGTTGATTCCATTTGAAGAACTAAGAAAACTCTATACTCCATAATGTCTTCTTTTTTGAGAATTCTATAAAATGTAGGTTCATCTCATCATAAGAGTATATGCTATAGAGTAGCTAAAATCCGTAAAAAGGAGACCACCACTACACAAAATGTCTGTCCAGTGCCTAAGGTGAGGGCTTCAAATGGTATCATTTCCTTCCCGGCGGCTCGGTAAACTCCAGCAATTGCTGCACCTGATTCAAAATTCAAGGGTGTTGAAGAAACAAACAAAAAACCCAACAAGGTTAACAAAATCATGAAAATGCAGCACTTTAAATTCTACTACAAGCATAACAGAATATTCCAAATTTATATACATTAAAATTAATTTTGTTTTCCCTATTTTATCTGCTAATTAGGTTTTAAGTATTTGTTATATAGTTTGCAGATCACTGATAAGTGCTTTTAGGTGCTGACTCCTTAAAACTAAGAATCTCTTAGATTTACTAAATAATCTGGAATAAAATAATTTGGAAGTCATAATCAAAACCACAAAGAAATTCCCATGTGACCTAATTATGAACTCAAACACATCTCTTCATTCCCCTGTCAATTAGCCCCATGCCTAGCATTTAACAGGTACCAATACATTCCTGGCAACAAATGACAAAGAATCTTTCCAGTTAGACTGAGCAAGAAATGTCTCAGGCCACTGGGAATCCCTGTTCTACCTTCTATTAATATTATACTCAGAGTTCCCTTCAAGAAATGCATGGAGGAGGATGTAGTCAAGGGGTGGGAAAAGGAAAAGAGAAGAACTCTAAGCCATAAAGTTGTTATTAAGTCAAGGGCATGAGGGAAGAGATACTCAGGGATTCCTTTCTGTTTCTCATGTCACTGATTGTTTTAATTGTTAGTCACTATGACTTCCTATAAATTAAGAAATCAAAATAAAAACACCTGTATCTTCCCAGATACCCATCTGAGTTCCTGCAGGGACTCAGCATTGAACCAACACAGTCAACATTTCATTACTTTGAAAAGAACAGATCTAGATTTCCCAGACGACCCCCCCCCCAAAATGCTCCAAACAAAATCCTCCTTGGTCACAGCATGTTCATTCATTAAAGCATTTGTTTGCAGAACACCTCTATGTTGTATAAGGTGTGATCCCTATTCTCAAGGTACTCAGAATCTAGCTGGGAACACAAGACAGAAACAGGTTTTCAATAATCCAAGATAATACATAGTGCCTCAATGACATGTCTACACATTTTATAAATAAGATATGAAGGTATGTTAACATATTTTAACAAGAAGAAAGAACAGCCGAGCGCGGTGGCTCACGCCTGTAATCCTAGCACTCTGGCAGGCTGAGGCGGGCGGATTGCTCGAGGTCAGGAGTTCAAAACCAGCCTGAGCAAGAGCAAGACCCCGTCTCTACTATAAAGAGAAAGAAATTAATTGGCCAACTAATATATATATAAAAATTAGCCAGACATGGTGGCGCATGCCTGTAGTTCCAGCTACTCGGGAGGCTGAGGCAGAAGGATTGCTTGAGCCCAGGAGTTTGAGGTTGCTGTGACCTAGGCTGACACCACGGCAAGAAAAAAAAAAAAAGAAAGAAAGAAAGAACAATATTAATTAGTACCTATGTTGGTTGCCTTGAACATTTGTGATTTAAAATGCCCTGTCCAGCGGCAATCCATACATTCTTTGTTACTGACATCTGAAAGGCACGTTTCACTGAGCCCCTGCGAAATTTACCCAAAAAGAGTGGGTTGGGTAGAAAGACACTTAAGGAACTTGAACTGGGCCTTAAAGTGAGATTTCGATGATGAAGCAGGGAAGAAAGCAAAAAGTGTATCAGTGGGAGCAGCAAAATGGAAATGGAACAGACTCTATTCATAGGGCCTTAAAGATGGAAATGAATATAGCATTTATTACACAATCACTGTGTGTCAGGTATTGTGTTAAGTACTTTATATGCACGGCACCTCATTTAATCACCATGGTGGGTAGTGGTATCCTTATTTTACTGAGGGACAAACTGAGACAGGCCACAGGGGCCAAAAATCCAGGTCAGAAACTGGAGCAAAGGCTCTCTAGAGCAGCAGTAGGTGATACGGTGAGAACATAGAGAAACGAGGCCACTTTCTTGCAAGAAGAAAAAAAAAACCCAAAAACCTCAAGTCAAAGAGACAGAGGAAAATTTCTACTTGAAGCTTAAGGTATAAATTCACAGTGAAAAAAATAAAGGTACAAAATGTAGGAATATTACATTTGTATACTAAAACAGTATATTTATAGTTACATGTATACATAAAAAAAAAAGCACATATACCAAAATGCAAATTGTGGTTATTATTTAGGGATGGGAAAATGGAGGGTTTTAAATTTGGTTTACTTAAAATTCCTAATTTATATGTATGTATTCAAGAATGAGTCTAAAAGTGATTTAAACTTATTTTCATCCCTGTAAGTATGTGCTGTGACAAGAGTGAAAGCCAAAACAGAAACAAAACAAACCCCTCAAAAACAGGTTTAAAAATAATTTATATCATATTACTCCAATTCTTATTCAGAAAGTCCTCAGTGGGAAAAAAATCTAGAACACAAATCAGGTACTTTTCTAAACAAGAATTACTGTCATTAGAACTGGTCTTCTATCCTCAAGGTAACCACATCCCAATGAGTGGAAGTATTTCTTTGCAGAACAGTTCTGTTTTATAAGGTGTGATCCCTATTCTCATAGTACTCAGAATTCATCAACCATCTAGCAATGCCACCAGCCAGGTGACAGCCAATCAGAAAGGAGAAGTAGCTTCCAAAAAGACAAACATTTGCTTTTCGTAGTGGCCTGTCTCACAAGCTGTACCACACGTAGCTTAACATGGCTTCACTAAAGCCACAGAAATAAACTCTGACAAAGAATTTCAGAGAGGTTAGCCAAATAATAGGGGTTTTGGGTAAGAAAAAAACAAAAACATAAAAAAACAAAACCAGGACTCAGGATTAAAAGCCACTCTTCTCTTCACCCCACTCAGATACATTTCTAAAATGGGTCTTGAAATTAACTGACTTGTCAAACATACTTGTCAAGATTCCAGCAGTAATTGGTCCCACGATGCCCATCAACAGGATGCTTACAGACATGAACCTACCATATTTGTGATGTCTGAGGGTGAAGAGGGCCAGTAATCCAGCAGGGACGTGAAAGAAGAGAGAAGACACCAGTGCCCACAGGAACACACCATACCACATCTCTGTGAGGAAAGACAAAGGTCACAAATCAGTGCCTTTTCCAACGCAATCACTGTAATCTGGGACTCATACCCAGTTATTTCATTTTCAAAACCATTAGTTGTTTACCCTTCTGTAGTCCATACTAAAAAAGAAAAAAAAAAAAAAAAAAAAACCATTAGTTGCAGTGTAAGTTAATCGGTCAGATACCCAAACATTGATGGTGTAAGAAGGTTCAACAAACTACCACCCACAAGCTACCAACTGTTTTTGTACATAAACATTCATATGAACTCATGTCCGTTCCTTAAGTATTGTTTATGACTGTTTCCAGCTACAAGGGCAAAGTTAGTAACAATGACACCGGTCACATGGCCCACAATGCCTAAAACATTTACTGTCTGGCCCTTCACAGAAAAAGCTGGCCAACATCTGATAAGCTACCCGCACCCTCAAACTGAAAAGGTTCACCTACATTTTAAAATTGCCCTAAATAATTTCTCTCCCATAAAGAAGTACAAGACTAAGTACCAATTAATAGGGTTCTATGCAATCGATGCCTGTTGATCTTTCCTTTTTGATTATTCAGTCTTCTCAGATGGAAAGCTATATAAGTCTATTCATTCAACTATCATTTTAAAGATAATGCAGTAAACATCAAGGGATCACCTCCTATCAGAATTATCAACTTCTTTAAGATTGTGAAATACCAGAAAATATGCTTCACAGGAAGACAAATGGCAGGTATGTGCAAGACAGGTTATAATTATATGGTTCCTGTCCTGTGAAACCCCTAATCACTCTTATGCAGTCTGTAATACAGGAAAAATTAAAGTATGTGATCATCAACTACGTATTATAAAACTATGCATGAGGCACTCTGGAAAATATAAAGAAAACAATACCATCCTGCTTGCAACTGATTTACAATTTGGCAAATGGTAGATACAGCATATTTCCCCAAATGAACCGAAGACAAGGATTTAGTATCCTCAAAAAGCTCTCTAGCTACCCATATGGAGAGAATGAATGTGACACAATAGATAAGACACATTGTCCATCCATAGCTAGAGGCAGGTAGGTGGCAGGTGATCTGAGAGGCCAGTGAACAGCTTAGCTCTGCAGGGTTTCTTGACCACGGTCCTACTAACACCTGGACCAGGTAACTTTTGTTGTTGGGGCTGCACCGTGCATTGTAGAAGGTGAGAAGCATCCTTGGCCAGGAGCACTCCTCCCCACTTGTTCAACCAAAATATCTCCAGACATTGTCAAATGGCCCCAGGGGCAAAACCACCCTGATTAAAAGCCACTGGCTTGACTGAAGGGTAGAGGGTTTATAAGAGCAATGGCAGTTAAAGCTACAAATGTCTTTACACATTACTAGGGGCTTTGAACACCAGAGTAAGGACTTCAACACGAAAGAGCCACTGAAGGTTGTGAGCAGTAACAGGTTGTCAGGACATTATTCCACAGGCCCCAGCTGACATTCCCAGTCGGAATACAAACTGGAAAACCATCTTTTTGCAGGGTAGTTTCAAAGTCAAATGTGCATATATTTTGCTGCAGTGATTGCACTTCCAGGAATACATCCTACAGGAATACAAACATAGGCAAGGACGGAGGAAACAAGAGGTTCCTGTCTATACTAGCAAAAACTGGAAGCCACCTGCATGGCTATCACTGTAGAACTTGGAAAACACGCTCTGTGTACCCACATAATGGACCATTACACAGCCACATAAAAATACGAGACAGATGTACATATACTGATTGGGTAAGACGCCCAAGTCACTTCATAAAGTAACAAAATCAAGTTGCAGAATAGTATGTAGTAGGATAAGATCCTCTTTGTTGAGAAAACAAAACAAATAATATAAACAAACATGCATGTATTAAAAAGTCTGGACATGTTTATTTATTTAATAAATATTCACTGTGCAAACGGGCACTTTTCAAAGTGCTTTACAAATATTAACTCATTCAATCCTCAGAACAACTCTGAAACACATACTATTTACATACCTGCTCACAGATGAGACACACAGGGAGGTTAAGGTTAAGAAACTTGCCTGAGCCCAAACAGCCAGCCCTCATCCAATATGCCACCTTGTGGTATATATTCAATTATTTCTGGGTAGTGGGGTTGATGCCAATTCACTTTCTACTTTCTAGAAAAAACAAAGCTTTTGTTTTAAGAAGAACTGCTCAGGAAGTTTGATTTGTTTGGTATGAACAGTTAAAGAGAGACCAGTTAGGGGCATCAATCATCCTGGGGAGAAAAAATGGGGGGCACAGGAACTTGTCTGGAAGCTGTACTTGCACTGTAGGCACACTGCTGCGGGTGTAGTCTCTTCCCAGGTCAATTAACAATAGTTTTATGAAAGGTTTTTGGCCAGGCGCAATGGCTCATGCCTGTAATCCTAGCACTCTGGGAGGCCGAGGTGGGCAGATTGCTCGAGGTCAGGAGTTCAAAACCAGCCTGAGCGAGACCCTGTCTCTACCAAAAATAGGAAGAAATTAATTGACCAACTAAAAAAATATATATGTAGAAAAAAATTAGCCGGGTATGGTGGCGCATGCCTGTAGTCCCAGCTACTTGGGAGGCTTGATTGGGGGGCTGAGGCCAAATTCCCTTAAGCCACCCTCAGAACTGTCACTGAAGCTTCAATTAATACCATATCCTGCATACCCTTAATTAGGGGGCCTACGTCTTATTTTGGATGACTGGTTCTTAGTGAAAGCATCAGAGACGCCCCAGATAGGGCTCACTGCTTATTAAAAACAACCAATGACTGAGAGTATTTTGGCACTTTTGATGTCGTGAAAAACTATCAGATGGCTACAAAAGGCTTCAAACTATTTCTGAGATTTTTTTCTGCTTAACAAGATATAACTTTTTTTTTTTTTTTGGAGACAGAGTCTCACTTTGTTTGTTGCCTGGGCTAGAGTGCCGTGGTGTCAGCCTAGCTTACAGCAACCTCAAACTCCTGGGCTCAAGATATCCTTCTGCCTCAGCCTCCGAAGTAGCTGGGACTACACACATGCGCCACCATGACCACCTAATTTTTTCTATATATATTTTTAGTTGCCCGGCTAATTTCTTTCTATTTTTAGTAGAGACAGGGTCTCGCTCTTGCTCAGGCTGGTTTTGAACTCCTGACCTTGAGCGATCCGCCCGCATCCGCTTCACAGGGTGCTAGGATTATAGACATGAGCCACCATGCCCAGCCAACAAGATATAACTTAAGGATAATATTATAATACTGTTCAAACTGGTCTATTTTACTTGAAAGTGTTTGGCAAAATCTGTTAAAAAACAAGCTTAAATCACATAATATGGAATGTAAAATGATTATATGCTAATGCCTGGGAGGATCACTTGAACCCAGGAGTTTGAGGTTGCTGTGAACTATGATCACACCACTGCACTCTAGCCCAGGACACAGAGCAAGCAAGACCCTGTGTGAACAAAAAATAAATATTAATGCTTCAAGCTTAAAAAATTAAATGTATATTTGTATATAAATATAAAAATATATGTAAAATATATATACACACACACACACACAAACCAGTGCCCTTCCTCCAAAAGAGAAAAAAGCTACCTTTCCAATCAATAGTGTTAGTCAGAAATTGAGAGCAGGAATTCTCCATCCTCAGTGTTTCAGGCTCCCACTTCTTCGGGAACAAATCTATGTCCTACTGCAGCTTCTTTCCCAGCTTCTCATTAGGCCAGGAGCTATTCCTGCCTTCCACTGCCCAAGAGACTTGCCCTCCCTTGTTGGCAGCAGCTCCAAAGGCTGCACTGTCCGAGCACTGCTCCTGCCTAATGAATAGGCACCTGACAGAGCTCTGGGGCCCACAAATCCCTCCTGAGACATGAGAGACATGAAGAGATTGCAATCTTTTCCTCTTAGAACGCCACAGTTCTATTGGATTTAACATAGGAATTTGGGGGCACACAGTTCAGCCCTTAGCAGTTGGGTGGCACATTTGTGTTCAAACCCACCTTTCTGGAAGTTACCAGCTTAGTGTGTTTCTGACAGATCAAGGCCTGGTCTCTGTGGTCACTAACCGCATGATTCTAAGGTAGCAGGTGGGAAGCCAGGCTCCAGCAGTGCCTTAGGCTACTGCAGAAAGCAGTGCTTATCTCTAAAATTCAGGGAGCTCCAGCAGAGGTTCTGGACAGCAGTGGCCCAGAGGTGCTCTGAGGTCTGGTACAGCAGCCACATGGTGACTGCTCTAAATTCCTGGAGGCAGGTTTGTATCCGTATCCTATTTGTCCAGTTTGTCTCACCAGCCCCGAATTCCCCAGGAGCACAGCACATGAGGCCTGCTAGGAGACCAAGACACCTCTCCGTTTTCCTAAAATCTTAAAGGCCAATTTGTAAACAGGACCTGGCTTAGCAGGCCGGCACCTCCCTGAGGTTTTGAGAAGGTGAGGCACACTGCACCCCACAACCATGAGCCACATCCATTAGCTTCTTCAGTGCCTACATATTTTATGTAGCACTAGCACCACTTAAGTCACTTCAAGTGGGGGAGGGGGAAGGGAATATATTACATGAGTAGTGTAGTTTATAAAAACACTTTTAGATGGATGGGATTATTGCAGGACTCTAACAGAAAAGGCAAACTTGGATCTATAAAACCCTTTTTGAAACAAAGTGATTTCTCTTTAATCTACTGCACCTTAATATATTGTCTATTTAATAGCTATTTATCGATCATTATATAGCACTTTCCATATCTCTGGCTCAACACACTATCAAAAATCTTTGTCAGCCAGGCGCAGTGGCTCACGCCTATAATCCTAGCACTCTGGGAAGCTGATGCAGGCAGATCTCAAGGTCAGGAGTTCGAAAGCAGCCTGAGCAAGAGCGAGACCCCATCTCTATTAAAAATAGAAAGAAATTAATTGGCTAACTGAAAAATATATATGTAGAAAAAATTAGCCAGGCATGGTGGTGCATGCCTGTAGTCCCAGCTACTCAGGAAGCTGGGGCACAAGTATTGCTTGAGT